TATATATATATATATTTGTACAATTTGATTTTAAATGTGGTATACTTATTTTGAAACATAACACATTTCACCATTAAATATATCAATAATAAATAATACTACAACCCAAAATAATAATACGCGATTTCCTTATATTTACACAATCGTATACGTTGGCATAATAAATGACATTACAAAATGGGATTTTATAACAGGAATATTTCATATGAGCATATTTTAAATAAGTACGTTAATAATATCGTTAGTTTCGGGCCTTCAAGGATATGCATCAAAACATCGAACAAATTTTCACACAGTTATATCTTTTGCTGTATTATAAGTAACCATCCTATTTAAACTCTATTTTTTATTTATGAGCCTTAGGACATTATTTTTTTAAAATCAAAAATAAATAAATAAAAAGAAACAAGAATTTTTTGGTGATGTTACATCTGCTCATTTAACATCATAAATGTCCAAAATTGGAAAAATACATTTCAAATTTTTTTAAAAAATTTTACCAGCAAATAAACAGAATTATTTACCTAGAGTTAAATTAAAAATAATTATTGTGAAAGCTTAAAGTTAATATCTATGTTATGTTCCCACCTTTTGAGAACTGCCGGCTTTTTTTTTCAAATAACTTATCAGAGCCGTAATGGCTCAGGGGATAGAGCTCTCACCTCCCCATGAGGTGAACCGGGTTCGAATTCCGCACCCGGCTCGCACTGACCACAGTGCTGACTAAAAATATTCTCAGTGGTAGACGGATCATGGGTTAGAGTCCCCTTACCATCAGGCTAACCGTGGGAGGTTTTCGTGGTTTCTTTCGCCCTGACATGCAAATGTGGGTTAGCTCCCTCAAATTTCTCCCAATATTTGATCTAGGAGTTCCCCTGTCTTCTGGATTGGGTTCAAAATAATAAGTATACGCCGTTGTTAGTCGTAAACTGAAAATAGCTGTTCAACGACGGTTATAAAAAATAACCCATCAAATCAATTAATCAAAGAATTGAAACAAGACTTACCAGTATCATTCAAATGAATATTCCATTTCAAATCGACGCAAGGTAAAATTTTTTCACATGGAAATATAACAGCAAAACATAATACAAACATTATAGAAGGTAAAAATGAAAAGCCAAAAGCCACTTTTCTCAAAGATGACATTTCAGTTAATTCCTCTTTGAAACTTGTTTCATTTATTTTTTCCTCATTTTGTCTAAACTGTAACGCATTTAAAATAACTCCTTTCGAGATATTACCACCATTCGTTACAGAATCATTCTTTTCCTGCGAAAAACGTCTGCAGTCAGCCTGACGTTGTTGCTGTACTTCTGCGACCATGTCAGCAATAATAACTGCAGAATAACTACTTTCTTGGCTTGTTAAGCTCGGACTTCTAGGGCCTTTCGGCATTCTCAAATATTTACTGTGGATATCTAAATAATAAATAAAGCAGAATGTTATCTTTCTCTTTGAAGTGAGAGAGAATGATTGCGAAAGGAGAAAGAATTTTTGGCCCAGATATCGCTGACGTCATATGTATGAGTAAAAGTCTCTTCGTAACAATTACGAGGAAAGTTGCGCCAATCACTCTGCCAACTTTTTAAATAATAACTTACATTTAAAGGGAAACAAAATTATAACAATGCATAGATGAAGGTCATGACGTTTTTAAAATAATACAAAAGAGAAATTGATGGAAAATGACTGGCGTAAAGATAAAAACGTCAATTATTTTATTCCATTGAATGATTGATTGATTTTCTAATTAAGAGGACACTCAAGGGACCTTTGAGAATCTTACTTTTTATAAATAGTATTTAAAAAAAACAAAATTGACTTATATATTTTTTAAATTTTTTTTTTAAATTTTATAAAACTTTTTCTCTACAAATAGTCATTGATTATCATGCAAGCACGAATAATTTGAATCACCAAAAAAACTTGTATTTTTCTGTGCTCAAATGAAAGGGCATTGAAAGATGTTTCAATAACTGTTTAGTTTGACAAAGTAATTCATACCTTATGAATTTTTTTTTTTGATTTGTCATATGTTTATTTAATTTAATCGCTTTAATTAACTTCCATGTTTTTTTTAAAATTATGAATAGTTAAAAAATGCTTTATTTGGGGTGTTTTAAAAATGATTTGTTATAGGGGTCTAAAACATGCCCGCTATTAGATGACTCGATATGCTTCTCTATATTTAAGACTCTATCGTCAGGTGAACCCAGCAATAATTGATCGATTCTGAATTGTACTGACCACAGTACTGATTTTCTCAGTGGTAGACGGATTATGGGTTCCGTCAGGCTAACCGTGTTAGGTTTTCGGGGCTTTTTTCTCCTTGTAACGCGGGTTAGTTCTATCAAATAGTCTTCCACGAAGGCAAATTTCTCCCAATACTTCATGCCAGAGTTCCCTTGTCTTCTGGATTGGGTTCAAAATTACAAGGCTACGTGGTTGAACATAAGTAGTCGTGAACCCAAAATTGGTTCGGCTATTCAACGACGACTATAAAATAAAATATTCTACACTCTATAAATTTTTTCTGACACATTTCTACAAATGCAATTCTACAGTTAGCAGTTTTTGAAGGATATTTAAATAATATGCAGTTGTCTGTTTTTAGAATTTTGATAAACATCTTTGATTTTGTGTGATTAACATTATAAGAATTTTTTAGCATCATCCAAATCAGTGTTCATCAGTTTAAACTGTAATAAGAGCAAATTTTAAGAAATCTAAAAACTTATTAACTCAAAACTACACATTGCGTAATTTTATTCTTTTCATGTTTTTAGGAAAAAAAGTTTGGAAAATATGAATTAGTTAAATATGTCTATGGTTTTACAGATAAAGCTTTAAATCCTTCAAACTTTGAATGTTAAAGTGTAAAACTTGTTTTACAAAATCTCAGTCCTCATGTAAAAGAAGGATTCTTAAAGAATAAAATTCAAAATTAATATAGCACATCAGATATATAAATGATGGTCGACCATAAACTTCCTATAAAGGTATTCACAAATTGGATGATTTTCAGAAGACATTTTTAAATCAATTTGTTGCTTAATAGTTGGAAAAATATGAAATCAAAATTAGGTCAATAAATCTCTACTTGTGCTTTAGTGGAACGGTACTGTTTAGAAATTTCAAAGAAGAAATATTTATGGTAACTGCCAGAATCACACTACAATATATGTGATCTTTATTTAAAATCCCAAGAAATAGGGGATCACTTTAATGATGACAGGGAAAATATTGATAGACAAAAGTAATGATTAACTTATTGCTCTGTTTAACATATATTGCTGGTAACATATATTGCCTCACATTTAATAGACCCTTCTAAGATTACAATTAACCTACAATTACCTACAATTAAAAAAAAATAGATAATTTTATTGTGTCTGAATTTAAAAAATAAGTAAATAAACGTCTATATTTCGGGCAAGCTTTAACATTTCCTTTGCGTGAAAACCAGGGTTCGTGATGTTTTTAAAAAAGTCAAAAAAATCCGATTTTTTTTAAATTTAAATCGGATTTTCTTGATTTAAATCGTATATTTTTGATTTTTATTCAAATACACTGTAAGAAATTTAATTTATGATTAAAAATACTTTATAAATGATTAGTCAAAATTAAATTAACATTAAAACTATATTATAACAATATTTTAGGAGCTCTAACTTACTAAAATAATTTTTCGTTACAAATACATAGCTTTGAATGCATGGCAACCATTTTGGAACAAATGCGTGATTGAAATTTAAAGACTAGATGAAATAGAGAATTTAAAAAGTACATCAGGGGTCTGTTTATAGGTTTTTCTGAGAGGCACCTATTTTGTGAAAATTTAGATATAATTTGCGAAATAAAAAATTATATTAAAAATTCAACACAAAAATATTGTAAAAATATGGACTTATCGTTTCTTACGAGACACAAAAATAAAATTTCAAAAAAAAAATATTTTGTGAAATTATTCTACAGTTTTTCCTGGAGTTGAATTTGTGAAGGTAAATTTGGCTTGGATAGACCCCTATACTTTAACTATTAAAGCAAAGTTTCAATTAGCAAACCATAATTTTAATTTAAAATTGTGATTTCTTTTTTTCATTCTTGATTTTTAAAATGACAAAATAAATGTAACATATAGTGTTTATAAATGTAGTCATTCATCAAAAAATAAATAAATATTTAATCTATATATTTTTATGTTAAAATATTCATTTTTAATCCTACATTAATAAAATATAATGTAGATTTTAATTCCATGCTTTTTCAATCAAAAGGTAGAATTTTAATTAACATTATTTGCATTTTTTTTGGAAAAAATGCATGTTTATTAATTACTTTTTTACACTATGCAAGTCTATATTAAGACAGACAGCATTAAATGTGTACTTTAATCTGTACTTTCAATCTCAAGAATCAATAGATTTTTAAAAATGTAATTTCAAATGTGTTGGAATTCATCACACATCAAGAAAGAAAGTAATTTCGTTAACTAAAATTAATTATAGCAATTTATTTAAAATGAATTTTAAAACTAAGATAAGAAAATAATAAAAGTATCAATAATTGAAACACTGTTTTTTAGATTTTAAAATCAATATATATAAAAAACATCAGTTGATTTAAATCAATGATTTTCTTAAAAAAATCATTTGATTTAAATCAATGATTTTCTTAAAAAAATCATTTGATTTAAATCATGATTTAAATCGTGAATTAAATCAAGCTGATTTAAATCAACAAACTGGTGAAAACTGCTAAAAAATCATCCCTTACTTTCCCCCCACCCTGTAAAGGAAATATACCTCTCTATTACTGAACGATGGAAAGATTCTTGGTTTTAAATGTCACAGCGAACAGAATATCAAATTTTTAAAAAAATAATAAATAAAATAAAAACAGTGAAACAGAATAGAAAAAAAATTACCGTTAAATGAGAGAGGGAGTTCTATTACTGACCGATAGATTCTTGGTTTTAAATTTCACAGCGAACAGAATATTAAATTTAAAAAATAAAAAAAATAATAAAAACAGTGAAACATAATAGAAAAATATACCGTTAAATGAGAGAGGGAGTAAGAAATAATTTACAGGTAAACAATATATTTTTTTTAATTTTAATTTAATTTTAAAACAATACGAATTATGAAGTTAAAATTACAAATTCGAATTCTTGATTACCATTTTGTAAGGTTCATATAATTCGTATCCGGTTAATACTAATATATATATATATATACACACTCAGGGTGGGAGAGCCCCCTCCCTTGAGATACTTCAATGGTCACTGGTTAAAAAAAATGTTTTTAGTAAGTATTACTGAGGAATTTTACAGTTTTAGCAAAAATGGATAAGTTTTATTTGCTCAATTAGTATTGTTGCACTCAAAAATGAATGGAGTACCTAGTCTCATTTATGAAACATAAGTGTATGTGTGCAATATGTAAGACTTCGCATAGTTTTCTGATGAAGTGTGTATAAAAATTGTCTAGTTATGTTTTTAAACAATGAATTTTCACTTGCATTATATAACAGTAAAAACTACTGCTCATGAAGTTCACAACTATTTATGTCAAAATGTATATACAAGCATGAAATTTCAATAGCATTTAAGAATTTTAAAACCTGTTTTTATTTAATTAACTAATACCTGCTTGTATCATATCATTCAATAAATGGATGTGTTTATTGTTCTATGCTGTTTTAGTTGTTCATTTTATTTACAGTTCTTGCTGGCATTTAATGATTAATTAAGTTGAATTTAAGAGCTGAAAAGTGTAAAGAGAAGTTCAATGTATTTTGACTGACTTACAAGCACAAACGTTGGTATTTGATAATTTCTTGACAACCTTGTTATAAATGGGCAAATACGAAAAGGCTACATTGTTGTCCTGTTATTGTTAGAATAATTAATCCTGTGTACAGGGGAAACTACATACTTTTCTTTTAAATTTGGGAGTGAATTTGATAAAAATAGAAGGAAATTTTATTGCAACTTCTGTAAGTTGAAATAATATTTTCTATTTTGTCCTTTTTTTCATATTACTGCTCACTTTGAGAGATTCCATTTTTTTTTATTCTGTAGGTCAAACAATGTAGTTTGCAACATTAATTTTAAAGATAATGTATATTTTGTTATTGTAACGGCACCAGATCAGCAGTTTCCTTCCCCTGAACTTGCTAGAACACCCATTAGGCTGTCATTTCTTCTAACACCTCTTTTATAAAATCCTTTTGTTGGAAAAGAAGTGTGATTATGAGTTATGAGTATATTAATGTCTTCTTTGTCTTGACTGAAAGATATTTTTTATTTTGATTATTTGGCGAATTTCAAGTGGTCATAAGCTTTTTGTTGTCTTAATGGTAGACAACGAATATATATATATATATATTCGTTGCCAAATATAATTACTTTTTCCATGGGTGCCAAATTTAATTACCTTTTTTTCATTTGAGATCTCTTTCTAAAAATTATTTAATGTATAAGTTTTTTTTTTTCATTTTAAATTCTTTTTCATTTTAAGTCTTTGCTTTTTATTAG